CTCTGATTTCTCGTTCCAGACGGGAATACGTAGGCATAAAGTGCGATACTTTGCCGAGTCATTTTATTTTCTTTTTAACCCTTAACCTTTAGTTTAGATAGAATAACAATCCATACCCGAAAACAAGCGTGGATCCCGTCGAGTACGACGGACGTGAGGGGTGCTAATACCTTCCCCTTGCGTAACCGACTCCCGAATCCAGGTTTTGGTTGCGACGACCATACCTTTTCCCGTGTTATGCGAGGTTTACTCTGAGCGTTTCCTTTCCCTCCCGTGGGATAAATAACACACGGTGGCGACTCTTCTGTTCAGCCGGCGCCGATTTTCGCAGTAGCGACAAGGTGCATCAAGAAATCCCCAATTAAAAGTGAGTTGAATTTGAAGTGATTTATATTTATATACATAAAAATAAGTTGAACAACAAAACTTAGAGTAAAAGTCATGTTTGAATTCAAAAGTTATAAATTCTAATTTCGAGTTAAAATCAATTACTAAGAAAAAAAATTAATTATAATCAAGAGCAACTAAACATGTCAAAATCAATTTTACACACCCTGATTAAGGGTCCGTTTGTTTTGGCTTTTTTAAAAAATAATTTTTATAGTGTTACATATTTTGGTGTGAAAAAATTACAAAAAACTTTTCACAAAAGTTTCAAATGAAATTTTGGTTTGAATAGTTATTCTTAAAATGTTATTTTAGGTATTTCATCATTTTATCCAAACTTTTTTTGGATATCGAAATTTTCAAAAAACAATCACTTAAATTTGAAGTTATTTCAAATAGTTTTTCATAAAAATCATTTTCATGATACGAATTTAAAAAAAAAAGGGTTAAATAAGTTTTTGGTCTCTCTAAATGTGGTCAATTTCACTTTTAGTCCTCTAACAAATTTCTTCAAAGATTAGTCCTTCTAATATTTCTCATCCACACTTTTGATCTCTTTTGCTAACGGTCGTTAACAGAAGCTGACGTGGCATGCCACGTGGAGGTTTTTTTTGTGTGAATGGACATACACATGACATTGTCAACGTGGTAAGATGATGATGTGGCATGCCACATCAGATAAAGTCAACATTGTTCATGAACCCGAAAAAGTTTATAGCTAATCGATAGCTAAAATCGTAGCTAATGTGTAGCAACTTCGATTTAATCTTCGAACAACTTCCTTATGTTTCAGATTAAGGTACAATTGTTATATACCAAAATCTTATTTTCATAATGGTTTATTTCAAGAATCTCACGTCTACTTATTAGCAAGTTAAAATGAACACGTTAAAAAATGAAAACACAATATTTTCACATTTTAAACAGTGAGCTAAGGATCAAACATTTTTTTTCTTCTCAAGTTCAAATTATCATGAGTGAGAAATAACGAGTAGCGTGGCTAATCTTCCAGACCCAATGAAATAATATATATGTAGAAAGCATTTTCATATAGAAATTTGATTTGACTTGAATCTTGAAAATGACTATTTTTTCAATATGAAAACAAGCGAAGTTTCTCAGTGCTTTGTAGGCAACGAGACACATGAAGCCTCACTATCTATTTTCAGTCTTACTTTCTCATACTACTTTATGGTTTCTAAGCTTCAAGCAGTGAAGAGAAAAACTGATATTGATAGGCATGGTCCAACATGACTGATTTTCAGGGTTACCTTCGGAGAACACGAACTTATACATATTCGTTTTTGTCGATAACTGTTATATTATAGAGGAAAATGGCGTCAACCAGAACGCTATTCGCCTAAGACTGTTTCCCTTCCCTTTGAGAGACCGAGCACGAAATTGACTCCAATCCTTGCCCAGTAATTCCATCAATTCTTGGGCTCAATTGGAAGCTGGTTTTCTCGCATGGTACTTTTTGCCGAGTAAGACGGTCCAAGTTGGGACGAGATAAATAATTTTAGGCAAGAAGATGGGGGATCTTTGAGTGACGCGTGAGAGTGTTTTAAGGACCTATTAAGGCTCTGCCCTTTCCATGGGCTCAAAAAATGGATGATAATCCAAACCTTCTATAATGGTTTCCTTTATTCCACAAGGATGACAAGTTGTCGCTAAGCCTACTTCCAAAACCGGTGGTATGTATGAGGTTAATCTGTTTGATCAATTGAATGCTAAGGTAGACACTCTTTACCAAAAGATAGAAATTCTAAGTGTCACACCTTCCACGCCTATTATTTCAGCCCTTATTGCTTTGGTTGTCCCCGCCACACACTACTGTGAGATATGCGAAGTTAATGGGCATATCGATAGAGATTGTTAAATGATCCTCACGGGATGATCTATCCAAGAGAATGTCATATTTATGAACAATAACAAAGGGATAACCCTTACTCTAACATCAATAATCTAGGGTGGCGTGATCACCCCCCAACTTCTCTTATAATAACAATAAACCCCAACAAGCAATGAGACCTCCGAGTTTCCAAAAAGCTGCACAACCCGAGCCTAAGAAGTCTAATCTTGAACTTATGAAGGAGAATTTCGTTTTGACACAAACCCGTCAAAATGATGAGTTTAGAAAGTAAAACCTTCTTACCAATGAGGCGTTTATGCAACTGAACACTAAGATTGATAATGTTGTCACCCACACCCAGATGTTGGAAACTCAAGTCTTGCAAGTGACGCAACAACAAGTCGCTTCTTCCATCCCTCCCGGATCATTTGCAGGGCAGCCCAAACAAAATCCTAAGGGACATTTGAATGCACTGACAACTCGTAGTGGTAAGGGAGTAGGTAGTTCTAGTTCTAAATAGATAGTGGTTGAAGTTAGTGTGCCAACACCGCCCGAAAATGAGGTTGTTTAAGAGGTTGAGAATGAAGCATCCTATGTTGCCTCTCATCCCTACAAACCTATTATCCATTTCCCATAAAGGCTTGTGAAATACAATGTGGAAGCCCATTTCAAAAAGTTTATGGAACTTATTAAGAAGATCTACCTCAATGTGCCAAATTTTTGAATATTCGATATTTCTTCAACTATTTTGAAGAAACTCATGATTTTTTATCGACAATTTCTAAAATGTCCGGTAATTCTTCATAATTTTGCAAAATATCTGATATGTTTTCAAAAGATCTGGTATTTCTTCATCCAAATGATAGATTTTTCAAAAAAATCTAATACTTGCATAAAAAAACGGTATGCACATAAAGTTTTTAAATATCTAATTTTTTTTAATAAAGACATAAGTGTAATTGCAGCTCTCATATGAAAGCGTCAGGTCAAGATGGGGTATCGAGATAAAACCTCATATATGAAGCTACTCACTAGGAGTGTTCGCGAGGCGGTTTGAATCAGTTTTGAGAGAAAACCTCATCTAATCTAAAGATAAATTTATTCGCGGTTCAGTTTTGAATAATTGATAAAAAGAAAATTCGATCTTATTTTATGCGGTTTAATTTGGACCGATTTTTGGATATCCAAATTACAAATTATATTTTTATTAAGATTATAAAAATGCAAACAAATAATATATTTAATATAATATATATCATATAGTATATTAAAAATTAATATTACAAAATAGGCATTATTAGTCACCAAGTCCCTTAATTTAATATTTTGTTTTAGTTACTTAACAAAAAGGCATTAGTTCCTTAACTTCACTTTCGTTGCTCTATTTATCCCTTCTGTCAATTTATATACAAAAAATGTTATTTTCTAATGATGTGGCGTCACAACAAGGTCATTGCTACAAATCTGAGTCGTTATATGTAGTTTAAAACTGATATACTATTTACACTGCGAGAATTTTGTTTTCGAAGGAACCCCACAGTTTATACAATGTATTAATTTTTAACTATATATGCTGACTCAAATTTGTTTAATGTTTTTCTGTCAGAAATTGTCGAAAGAGACCAAATAGAATAACATAAGTGAAGTTAAGAGACTAACTTGTAACGTTTTTTTAGTTAACGGATTAAAGTGAAAATATAAATTAAGTTAAGCGATTAAAACATATATTGAGCCTACAAAATAAGATTGATAAATTATGATTGAAACAAATGAAATAATAACAAATATTAATTATTAGTTAGTTTAATGGTAATTGATGTTGGACTTTACAGAGAAGATCATAATTTAATCTTTCACAACTGACGGTCGAAAGGGGTTGAAACCACTTAATCGCAAAATTTACCTCTAGACTAGATGAATCGATTCAATGGACCGAATATAGATAGTGAAAACCATAATAAATAAATTAAATTAAATTAATTGAACTATAGTATAGTAAAAAAATTTATCAATATCATATTAATAAATAATAATAGTAAGTATCAAATATATGCATGCAAGTCAATTTGGATTGATTTTAATCAATCTAATTCAATCCAAACAATTTTTACAAAATATCATCCAAATATATTCAATAATATTTGATTTTTGTGATTTTTAGTTTTTTTTAAATCAATTTGTAATTTTTATTTAAATTGAATTGTATATGAGTATCCCTACTACTCACCCAATACTCGTGGCATATTTTTTTCCTTTCCTCATATGCAGATTTTTTTACTATCCCTACTAGCTATTTATAGCCTTATTTAAACTAGATCATGTTTGATTACAACCGAACCTTATACAGTCATTTAGTAGTTACCACTTTCTCAACCCTACGGCTTTTTCTTCTCTTTTTTTGTTGAAGTCCCCTCTTAAATTAGGCCTGAAAGGCAAAATCTCTATACTATCTTTTACAATCACAAATTTCACAACTTGGCCGTTTAATAAATATAGAAATAGTACTCCCACATCGTGAGTGAGTATTGTAGCCACGAGTAGAATAGAATAGAGTCGATAACATCGGATAAAATACATTAAGATACAAATAGTCAATTATTGATCATGACTATCACCACAGTTGAATTTCTGTAATCATACATCTAATGATACAAGTCAACAATCAGAATTCATAAACTTAAACCCCGGTCTCTGAAACTAGTATGAGAAAAATAAGCAGAATGTTGTCTTTAAGAGCCACAAAAAGCCTGGAAGCAGTTCTTCACACTTCCCCTTTAAACTTAGCTTCATATACCTGAGGTTGCTGCAACAACAAAAAAATCATTAAAATTCTTGTTTGAAGGAAAGGGAGCGTGGAGTAGGATAAGAGACCTATGCTTACCATGTATATAGCTGAAATCATTTTGCGTGCAAACCACCGCATGTGCATTGCACGCTGAGCAGCACTTGCTGCTTCCACGGTTTCAAACATCAAATATACAAAACCTGCACTATTTCTGTATACAAACTGAATCCATTAATAAAATCGCAGATATGCGCAAAATGATATTTGACATAAAATAATATGGAATGGAGTACACATATGAGTGCACTAATTTACAAACATACTTGTCGACATAGATATGCTTCACCCGCCCATATTTAGAACACTCTTCTTCTACATCTTCTTTGATGTCTAGATCAAAATCTGGCTCTGTCTGCAGGTCGTAATAACAGATATTATTAACAATTCAGTTTAATGAAACTATAGAGTATCCGTAATCAATCAGTTAAAACTAACCTCAGTGGTTGGATCAAACATATTTTTCAACAGCAAACAGTTGCTGGGGGTTCCGACAGGTTCGGCCACTTGGGTAGGCATAAATTGAGTTGGTAGAGCTAGTGCTGGTATTAATCCAGGATTCCCAATAGGCAAACTAATAGCCTGCTGGGCAGGAACTGACCCATTCATGGGTAAGCCAATGCTGCAGTTTTTGGAATATGTTAAGATAATAGGCCTATTTAAAGAATATAGAGTAAAATATTTAGATGAACCTTGCAGCAATTCCAGAACGATCCAACTTCTGCATAAGCAATGCTCTTGATTGAGCATTTAAAGCCTGTTTGTATAAAAGTAAGAAAAAGCAGGATAAATGAGCACGTAACTCATAACTAGGAAGGAAATTGAAATAAAAGAACCCCGGTAGGAAAAGAGACCATAGCAACTCTAAAGTACAAACACCCGGCCCAAGATGGGGGGCAGTTTCTGACTGAAACATAGTCAACACTCAATACAACTATACAAACAATTAAGCTAAAATTTATAGTTACTAAAATAATAATGAAAAATTGAAATAAAATTTCTTGTCAATCAACCCTAACAAGCTGAGTAAATAATCATCCATCTAAGTATATTTCTTGTATGAGGAGATAGAGATTTAAGTGAGACACATTGTCCTGTCGAAGCTATTCATTTAGTTTTTATTTTTTTGGTCAAGTCTATTCATTTAATTTTAAATGTGTAGACTTACCAATCCACCTTCATCATCATCAAAATCTGCAGATTTTGCTGCTGTATCTTGACCTCCAACATGGTCTGCTACAGATGAAACCTGTTCAATAAACAGCACTAGTTACAAATATAAGGACAGGCAAATAGACCCGCACAGAAAAAGTTAAATATAAAAAACAAAGTGAATAAATCTACCTTGATAGTTCTGCCAGCAATTTCCAATTTTCCATTTAAACTCTGGGCAGCCTTGGCATGCTCTAGGTGGGCAAACTGTCCAAGGATTGATAAGGGAAGAAGAAGGGAAAAAGGTAAGTAACAGTATTTTATCAGAAACAAATAAATTAAGTTAAGTGTCAGTAACGAACTTGAATAAATCCAAAACCCTTGCAATGTCCGGTCTCCAGGTCAAGAGGCAGTTGCACAACCTCCACGGTACCAAATGGCTCAAAAATCTAAAATTTAAAAAAAAAAAAATGTCAGACGCTGATCAGGGACAAATTATCAAACAAAACATTCTTCTTAGTTAAAGTATGACATCAGGCTAAATTAATTCAAAAGAAAACTATTTTGTTGTTTTGACGAGTATATTTACAAAAAATCATTTAACACTCATTTCAAATTCCTAGCAATAGATGGCACTGACAAAAGATTCACTGGACAGAAAACAAAAATACCTCTCTCAACTGGCTCTCGGTCATATTGAAATGAAGGTTCCCCACATACAGTTTTCTGTCCACGGCTCCATATGGTCCGACCACACCAGCAGCTCCAGTAGTAGTATTAGATTGAACTAGGTTCTTTTCAGCCTCAGAAGGTTTGACCATTACAGGTTGTCCAAGAAGAAGTTGACCAGAGAGAGCAATTGCCATTGGCACCGACATTGCATCGTAAAATTCAATATACCTGCAACCTCATCAAATACTTGCATCAACTTTTCAGAACTACAATATACAAACAGTTGCAATCAAAACTTACAAAGCATGGCAAAGAGATGTAGTGAAACAAAAAACTTTAGTGAAGACAGCTCAACCAGAAAGTATCTTTTGATGTATCTGACTAATGTAAAGAAACTGTTAGCCTGATAGTAAAAAATACAAGCTGAAACATATATTTCAATCAAGAAATAATAAGACCAAATTAGAGAGGAAAGACTGCATTAAACCATCAAAATTGGGAGGATTAGAAAACCAGCAATTCATCTTCACTTGTGTTCAAGGAAAATTCAATTTGTAGGAAAATAACCAACTTAAAGCTGGCGAAGTACTGTGACTCACTAGTCAAATCAATTCTAAGAGAGAACCAAACCAATTTCATGAGCATCACATCCAATTGGCTATCCCCACCCAAAAAAGAGGAGAAATAAAAGAAGGAAGGAAATGCAGGAGAAACCTTCCTCCGCGTCAAACTTATCAAGATAATATATCTCATTATCAGTTCAAGTGATATAAACTGAAAAGGCTTAACAACATAAGAAATCCTCACTGTGTGTGTATGTCAACATAGAGGAAGCAAATTGGGAAAGGACCAAAAGAAAACCAAGATCATGTCATCTACCTTGAGTACGCAGCATGAATTGAATAAACATGAGTGCAAGGTATTCCCATCATCCCTCATCATTATCGCATTGCTAGTTCATTTAAGAATACAGTTAAACATGATTCTTGAAAGTTGATATCCTAATACCACAATAGTGCACGCATATGAAGAGTGAAATAAAATATTTTACAGTACAGAGCATACCCAACTCCTTTAGATCGTCTTGAGTTCCTATCCATGATCAGACGAACATCTCTCACCTGCAAACGAGGTACATCAAAAATAAAAAATAACTGAGTAAATAGCACTAGACAAAGTAAGTCAAGATACAAGACATTCACACCAAGGAACCAGACAATTAAAGCTCATTTTGGATTGACTTTTTTTAACTTCTCCTCCTTAAAAGAAGCTAGGCCAAATATAATCTTTAAAAAGATCTTATTTAAAAAAAGGAACTTATCTTTTATATATATAAACTAGATATAAAGAACTTTTCAAATCAAGTAGAAAACCTTTGATATTTATCTATTTTTTATTATTATACTCAAATTCTATATAAAAATACCTTTTAAGCTTAAAGAATTACAAAACGACCATATTTTTATTTCTAATGCTCTTATTTTTAGTTTAAATCAAAAGTAGTTTTTAATGCCAAAATAAGTCAGGCCAAACATAGCCTACATCCAGGAAATGGAAATATTTAAATATAACAACCACTGGTGCACTCCCCACATTGATACAGAATGTTGAGCGCATTACAGTTACTAGATAACTTGAAACAGGAGCAGGGAGAGAGGAGGAGATTATATATGAAGCACTGACACAGACGGACACTGACACCGCTAATAATTTAGAAAATGCGTGACACCTGACACTTAGAAATTTCTTAAAAGTGTAGTTGTTAACACACTCAATTATATATTTTGTGAAATATCATAAAATAATAATATATGTTTGCAGTGCACAGTATATACACTCAAGCGACAGAAAGTTTCAATGGAAACATTAATTACCTCAAATTTTAAATAGTAAAAACAGATAATAAATTAATGAAAATAACTGACCTTGCCAGCTTTTGAGAAGAATTCATAAACATCTCTTTCTGTTGCCTTTAAAGGCATCTGAAATCATCACAACACATTGACAATAATCAGAACAGGACACAAAATACTCAATAATATCAGATCATATAATCCAAGACAAAAACAGAACAGGGCCAACCAAATAACCTGATAGGCAAAAACAGTTCTTTGATCCCTTTCTGGATCTGCCTCAGGCTCCACAGCTTCCTTCTTCTCCCTAAGTCTCCTGCAATTCACATTAAAATACAGCCATTACGTGCATAGAAAAGTTAAGCAAATTTGAACCTAATATTCAGAGTTCAGATTGTATGGTACATTGTAATAGTTCATACTTAGTATTCTATGTAGCTTATTTGTACACGTGTATAATTTCTAACCTAGTGTTAGTATGCTGAATTGTAAGACTAACTGAATTCTAGCAAAAGTTAAGTAACAGCAACTGTTTAAGAGAGTTGTGCATCTCTCTACATGATTCATCGGTTCAGTCAGCTAATGTAATGAAAACATATTCATGGATGGATTATAGCCCAGATTCTCTCAAATTCTCTCTGCCAACTTCCTCATTTTGTTCTTGATTTTCTCTCATTTTCTTACTAAAGTTACTTCAAACAAGCATAAACCTAAACCTACTTGGCTAATATTAAGCCCAAACAGTAATCTTGAGAGGGTAAAGGTCTCAAAATTTTAACTCTAGTCATCACTTCAGAATCTATTGTTATACTATCAAATTAACACTCACAACCATGCAGACTAGAGCAGAGAATGGCATTTCCCATCCCTGATTGGTGCCTACTTTGTTAAAAGAACGCACAGAACCAACCACAGCTAAGCAAGCTTTGGCAGAACCTCACTGGTTTACTGCCATGAAAGAATATGACATGTTGCTGCAAAGTCAGACCTGGTCTCTATTTCCTCTCCTTCAAGCTGCGGGTGGGTTTTTTAAAATAAAGAAACCCTGATGAGACCATTAATGCAGCCAGGATAGTTGCTAAAGGACTTCATCAGCAACAAGATTAAGATTCTCTAGGATGGAACTCACATGAATGATTCAAAGGGGATTTCATCCCCTTCCATGATAACAAATCTAAAATTGTACAGATTTGAAGCCAACTATTTGCATGATCCTACTTTTTACAGTTCAATAGTAGGTGCCCTAGCAGTATGGCAATAAAACCCAGCATGAGATCAATTTGCAGTGAACACAGAACAAATCAAGCCAGTTCATAGGAAGGCAGTCAAGAACTCAAGATCACACAGAGGTATCTGAAAGGGACTATCAGCCATGAGTTGCTGCGGCAAAAACCACACAGCTGACTTGAGCCAGCCAGTCCCTCTTAAAGCTTATCATGGTGCAGCCTGGCCCCAGGTGATCGAAGATCAACATCAGGACCCTGCATTTACTTTGGCCCAAGTCCGGTATCTTGGTGGTCTAGAAAGCAGACCTACGTTGCGCGCTTGATGACTGAGGCAGAGTACAGATTTTTGGCAATTACAGCTGCTGAAATTTCTCTGTTTGCAATCATTGTTTGCAGAACTGCACATTTCCATACAGATTCCTCAGATTATGTGTAATAACTTGAGCATTGACTAATCATGATATAGCAAAACATTTTGATGGTGCCCATTTAACAGGACACACCCTAAAATCAGTCATGGTTGGTTGTAGAGTCAATGAACCTATAGAATCAATTATCTATTAAATGAAATCACTGTTTACTAGTATTAAATAAAAATGGGATGTGGTCTATTTATTTCTAACCTGCCTGGTGGTATGGTTGTGTTCTTCCAGAAATGGATAAATAGATGGATGTAATGTATGCCTAGGATGATAACGCAGTATAAAGTAATAAACAGGGTTTCACAGGGATCGAATGGGTGATGACAGTTTTCAACGGAGTGTGCACCAAATAAACAGTCAGCTTAGTTGTGGCATAGCTGATAAACAACACAAGCTTACAACTAAACCTAAGCTGAAACACTTGCAAAGGCACGACAGCCCAAAATCATAGCAAAAAGTTTATGTTAAGAGCCAAATTAACAAACAAGGATGAAAATTAAGTTAAGGGAAAGTGTGTTACCTGCTATCTCTCATGTCGAAATCCCGTTCTCTAACACTATCACGCTCAGAACGACTTCTGCTCCTCCGAGACCTGTCTCTCTCCTCCCGTTCCTTCTCTCTGTCTCGTTCAGAACGACTTACACTTCTTCGAGACCTCTCTCTCTCCTCCCGTTCCTTCTCTCTGTCTCGTTCAGAACGACTTACACTTCTCCGAGACCTCTCTCTCTCCTCTCGCTCCGAACGACTCTTGCTCCTCCGGGACCTTTCTCTCTCCTTTTCCTTCTCTTTCTCCTTCTCCCTCTCCCTCCTTTCCCTTTCTCTGTCCTTGTCTCTCCTATCTTTCTCCCTGTCCCCATCCCTCTCCCTATCTAGGCCTCGGTCTCTGTCTCTGTCTCTGCTACTCCTCTCACCGTCTCTATCTCTATCCCTATCCCTGCCACTCCTGCGACGCTCCTTGTCGCGGTCATCATCACGATCTCTATCCTTCCTGGAGACATGCTCATCGTCGTCGCCACTGGACCTCTTGCTCCTCTTCAATTCAGCGCCATCGTCGATCTCATCGCGCTTTCTGTAGCTCCGTTCGGTCCTGTCGATACTCTCCCTCCCCTTCTCAGAAGAATCTTTGTCTTCTAGCTCCTCCACTGTCTTCTCCAGATAATCGTACTCGTCGAAATCCATTGCAGCTTCGTCTCTCAATCCCAAACTCTGAAGTTGAGAATTTGAGATTGAAATTGAATTTCAATTTCTAGGGTTTTACACTTTGGGGTTTTCTTTCTCTTCGGGCTCAGATGGATAGTAAAGAAACGAATACCGCTAATACTTTGTACACTTTCTCCCCGCTCCGCACTCTATCGAGCTTGTTAAATTCTATAAGTGAGTCACCAAATAAATAAATCACTAATAATTTTGTGTCAGGCTCTAAATGTTCATCTTTAAAATCAATCATGATTTAATGTTTCCTCACTTTTTTATTTTATTTTATTTTAAAATAGATTAAAATTTTAACACAATTTATGCTAAAGATGTTGATAATGTAAATTTATGAATAGTAAAGATTTTTTTTAATATATAAAATAAATTATATTTAAAAAGATATATTTTAAATTAATTTTACGAAGATTGTTCCGATCACAAAATGTGAGATCAATGTGTGGAGGAAGTGAGTCTTTCTGGTGCGATTATGCGAATTCATGATGCAGATGCGGTGAAACGAAGTGGATATACAAAATTAGCACTATAACACTCAAATCATCGAGGTCAGTGATATGTAACTTACAATGGTGAGAATGATACCATATATGTTATGGCATGTTGCAAGCCTTATATATGATAGACAGTTAAAATTGTACCTGTTAGATCTAGTGTGTGTCACGGGGAGCTGTTTGATGAGATTTGACAGTGAGTAATGTAACGCCCTGATTCTAAATTTCACATTTTATTGAGTCTTTTGATTTATTTGATTGATTATTATTTCATTTGTGAAATTTGAATATTAATATGTTATGTGTGCATTTTATGTTGTTTTATTATTCGGAGAGTTTTGAGAATTAATTAGAGGGTATTTTAGATAATCCTTAATTAGTAGATGTTTTGAGAGAAATAGAATAGAAAGAGTATAAGTGGAAATAGAGAGAAAAAGAAAGGAAAGAAGAAGAAAAGAGGAGGAAGAGGAGAAAAACCTAGAACCATCAAGAATCAACTTCTAAGCTTTCGATTAATCGGGTAAGGGTGTGAAACTTTATTATTCTTTCGATGTGTATGATTATGTATGTTTCTATTAGTTTGATTTTGGATTGGGGAGAGTTTTGCTCATTTTCCATTTCTAGGTCGGATTTGATTTAATCGGTAGAAACTGAGTTTTAACGGTTAAAAATGAGGATAAGTGGTAAAGTTTAGTCGAGGAATGTTGGGTTAAGGCTACTAGAACGAGTTGGAATTGAATCGGATGGATTTTGAGGAGTTTCGGAGTTTTGGACAGTGGGAAATTTTGAGTTCGCAGATCCTCGCTAGCAAGTTCACTAGGCGAGCAGGTCGCGAACATTCGCTGGGCATTCACTGTGGCGAGCCAGTAGCGAACGGTCCCAGACTTGGACATAATGGTTTTGGTGTTCTTCGCTGGTAGCGAAGGGGGGTGGCGAGCATTCGCTAGGCCTTTGCTGAGTGAGTGAGGTAGCGAATCAAGCCAGTGGCCTCTGTTTGCCTTCGCAAGCTTGATCGCTAGGCGAGCAAGATAGCAAGCGTGTCAGCATGTTTTTTTCTTGTGTTTTCACTCCAATGTCGATTCTTCGATTCGAGTATGCTTAATCCCTTCTTATTATGCATAGTTGTATGTTGTGATATGAAATGTTGTGGGTAGCCGTATGGCGTGAATCCTAGATTGTGAATCGTGGAGCGTGAAATGTGGTTGTTTGGCAATTTTGTGCATTTGTTTGAATTGAATGAAAATGCATGATGAGATTCATGTGAAGAATGCATGATTATATATTTGTGAATATGTATGCATTTCAAGAGTGTGTGGAGTCGTTTTGCATGTGAAGCATCATGACTGCATTCTTGTGTGTCTGATTCCGCGCAGGATCTGCAGAAACCTCGTGTGCCCTTGTGGGGTGTGAGCGATGGTTTATTTTGATCCCTAGAAGGATCTGCAGAAACAATCGTGTGCCATGTAACGCCCATTTTAATTATTTTTATTTTCGGTGTTATTTTCATTTTCGGCGTGCTTACGTGGATTTTTGGTTGAGGAGTAAATTCCATAATACTAGAAAATATGATTAATGATGATAATAATATGATAACTAGTAATATGTTACTATTATTAATATTATTGTTATTATTATCATATTAAATAATATTATTGGAATAATAATATAATTATTGGATTTTTGGAAATTAAAAGGAATAAGACTATTATTTATGGAATTAAGAAAATGTGGAGAATATTTTTATTGGAAATTATTTGGAATGAAATAAATAAGAGTTGTATATTTGTGGGATTAAGGGCAAAGTTGGAAGATAGAAAGGAAAGGAGTGAAGGGAAGAAAGAACACGCACGGTTGGGAGGGCAGAAGAGAAGAACACGGTTTGTGATGAGGAGAGCACGGTTGAAGCATCAAGAGCGATCAAGAGCAGAAGCTTGAGCAAGAAGGATTTTCGTGTGGATTGTAAAGCTCAATCATCATCAGAATTTCATTCGAGGTAAGGGGGACTTGATGGGTTAAATGGGTATTTACATGAATAATTGGTAGGAAGGGGAAATCCCTAACCCCATGAGTGAGTATGCTTACATGTTGATGATGATTGTATGATGAGTTGATGACATTGCATGTGTTAATTCTGTTTTACATTGTTGATGGTTGTGTCGAACTGTTGCATGCTGAATTTGATGGTTAATCGATGAATTGGGTGTTTCGGAGTTGAATGGGGTTCTAAGTCGAGAGTGAATTGATCGGCTAGAGTCGGTGTTTCATCGGGTGAATTGGATACTAATTGGGTAAAACAATTGTAGAATATGTGAAGCTGGTGTGATTTTTGGTGAGAATTGATGTGGTGGGGATGCTGCTGTTTCTGAGCAGCAGAGTTTATTTTTCTGAACACGCAGGTGTTCGCTGGGCGAATGAGGGAGCGAGCCTTCGCCAGGAGAACTGGGCAGCGAATGCTGCCAGTAGCCTCTGTTTGGTTTTGCCAGAAGTTTCGTTGGGCGAGTTCCAGCGAGTGTTTGCTGCGGGGCTTCGCCAGGCGAATGGTCAGCGAGTGTTCGCTGCGGGGTTTCGCCAGGCGAATGCACCAGCGAGCCCGACAACAGTTTGGGTTCTGGCTGCTGTTATGTGTTGATTTCCTTGTGGATTAGAATCTTGTTAATCATGTGTTGATGATGAGCTTATTGGGTGGGCTGTGGTGAGTATATGTAGGGCGTCGGGATGTGACTTCGTGATACCCGTATGTTTTTGATAATTGAATTGGTGTATGTTACGGTGTGTGATATGATGTGTGATGAGCGGATCAGTAGGATCAATACGCTTTATATGCATTGCGTTTATATACTGTTAAGTGATGAGTGGATCAGTAGGATCGTTACGCATCGAGTGTATTATGGTGATATGTTGTGATGAGTGGATCCGTAGGGTCGATACGCCTTAAATGCGTTGTGTTTGTGTGTTGTTTGTTGGATTGGATCAGTAAGATCGTGTGCACTGTGTATGTTGTGTGGTTATACATAGTTTCTTGCATAGCATGTGGACGTGGTGAATCATGGCTCGGTGGAATGTATGTGATTCACACACGTGCTCCAAGTGGGGAGCGTAGACGTGAGGTATGATTTACTCACGTGCTCCAAGTGGGGAGCGTGGATGTGGTGTATGATACACTCACGTGCTCCAAGTGGGGAGCGTGGACGGGATTTGGATCGTTGCTCGGATGGAGTATATGCAACCACCCGTGTTCCAAGTGGGGAACGTTGGTAGGGATAGATCGTTGCTCGGATGGAGTGTATGCGATCTATCCTGAGATTTGATTATATGGGCTCAGGAGGAGCGTGGTAGGGATAGATCGTTGCTCGGATGGAGTGTATGCGATCTATCCTGAGATTTGATTATATGGGCTCAGGAGGAGCGTGGTAGGGATAGATCGTTGCTCGGATGGAGTGTATGCGATCTATCCTGAGATTTTATTATATGGGCTCAGGAGGAGCGTGGTAGGGATAAATCGTTGCTCAGGTAGAGTGTATGTGATCTATCCTGAGATTTGATTATATGGGCTCAGGAGGAGCGTGGTAGGGATAGAACGTTGCTCGGATGGAGTGTATGCGATCTATCCTGAGATTTGATTATATGGGCTCAGGAGGAGCGTGGTAGGGATAGATCGTTGCTCGGATGGAGTGTATGTGATCTATCCTGAGTTGAGTCGGTACCACATATTGTCGAGTCGAATGCATGTGTTGCATTGTTGTTTGTGTGTGTTGTGATTGTTGATGATGGGACAGTAGGTCCGGATATGTTGTATATGAAATAATGATTTATTATTTTCTGCCTTTTATTTCATGTACATATATACCATTAATATTTGATTGTGAATTCTCACCCCTTTGTTGTTGTTGTGGTCTGTGCTTCTTCGGAAGTACAGACAACCCAGGTGTTTAGCTAGCTTGGATTGTGGCGTCGTTGTAGGATTGCTCTGATACGTAACACCGAGGCTTTTTGGGAGCATTTATTGTTTATTGTTGTTTATGTGTGCCCCCGTGGTGTATCTGATTTTTGTGGGATATGTGACCATGTTTGACATGATGTACTTTTGGGCAGATGGCCGTTGTTGAATATGACGATGTTGATGATTGATGATGTATATATGATATGTGTTATGACAGACTACATCTTTTTCCACTGCAATTTTGCTTAATATTATTTTGAAAAATGATTTGTGGAATTTTGTTGGAAATTGTGACATCCCGTTGTGGGAAAACTCTTATATGTGTTTATTTTAATCGTTTTATTTTATTTTGGGGAACGAGGTGTTACATGCCCTTGTGGGGTGTGAGCGATGGTTTATATTTGATTCCGTGGAGAATCTGCAGAACGATTGTGTGCCCTTGTGGGGTGTGAGCAATCCTGAAACATCGTGTGCCCATGTGGGGTGTGAGCGATGGGTGAACATCGTAGGCCCGATGGCGAGTTACTTCGGTAACG